ATCGGAACAAACCTATTATTGATTTGTTCACGATGAAATCATTTATATTATTGATCTTTTCTGATCGATAGAACGGAAATGGGCGATAACGACGAAGAAGCGCTTTACCCTACATAGTGTTTTTTTTAATTATTATTCTTCGATTAGGAAATTGAAAAAAGTAGACTCAAGAAAACGTTTCGAGATCTCGTAATAAAACATATTTCGATTAACAATAAGGTGAACATTCAAGATATCGGACTGAATTCCTTATCTGCAAAATCTGATTTGTTATGATAATTTGACAGCGCTTTGGAATTTTTTTCGTGAGTTCTGTCGCTTTGGAGTACTATAAGGAGATTTTAATGAGAATATCTCGAATAAATTCGAGCATAATTTAAAAATAAATCTAAACGTATGCCCAATGAGAATAATTCTTCGATAAATTAGAGAATATTGTACTGGAAATTCCATGAAAGTTTAGACTAAAATTGTGAGAACTTGTGAGAAGAATTCTTATGGAATTCGAAGCAGAGATCTGAGATATTTTTTTCGATAATTCTGAGATCTCCGTGGCGATTGTAAAGAGGAAACATCCTAATGAATATTCTGAAGATATCAAAGAGAATTCTGAGGATAATATTAAATGAATTATGAAGAAAACTTTCAAGGAAGCTCTGAGTAGAATTACAAGGAAATTCCGTTTAAAATTCCAAGGATATCTTGTTCTGATGATACTCCCAAAAGTAGAAGAATTCCAAGACCATTCTGAAGATAATTCCCAGTAAATTCTCAAAATAGTATCAAAGGAATTCTCAGCATAAATCAAAGGGAATTTGATTATTACTGAGGAAAACTGAGGAAAGTTTAAAACAAATTCGGAGAGGGAATTCGAAGATAAATTTCCAATGATTTTGGAGGCAATTCTATAAGAGTTATTCGGCAAATTCCATGGAAATTTTCAGATGAGAAGTCAATGATAATTCTTAGCTAAATTTCAAGGTATTCCTGTGATAAACTTGAACTAGAATACAACTTTGCCAGACCACTTTTTGAAAAGTTTTTCTTATGTTCTACGAAACCCATGTGGTTTTTCAAAAGTCTTATTGCACCAAAACATTCCTTAAAATGAGAAAAAAAATCGGAATTACGGTTAAGTGAATCTATTGGGGCTGGCAAAATCGGGTCATTACTGTAAAATATGTAATAAGTAATTGAAAGATCGATAAAAATCCAATGTAAATCTTAGAAATAATTCCAAATATTTTTTTGCATTGTAGCTGCACCTTTACCGACTGAACTAAGGGTGGCTCCAGACTTGCTCTGACTCTTATGACTGACACCTGGCAATTCTTACGATTTCTCCTAGAAACTGCTTCCAAGTTCTCTCAGAAATTCTCTGGAAGTTTCAATAAATTTTCTCTGAATGTTTCTTGCACTTGCATATGGCTTTTCCAGTACATTTATCTCCCAACAGAGTCGGTCAACTTCCTCTGGAAGTGTCTTCCAACCAGTGATGCAAAATAGCATGACACTCACGCGACACTTGTCAACACATCAACCGACTATCGCTGACAGAACGTTTTGTCACGCAGTGAGAGCTAGAGCCATGGCAAACAACTATCACCAGTAATGGTCACTGGTCGCAGGCAAAACGTAACACTCGCTGCTGATGATGAAAAGCACAACGAAAACAGTGAAGACTTCTGCGATAATGAGAAAATGCGAAAAGACGAAAAGAAAATAAAAACCGTACCTACGCATTCCAAGTTCGTCTTGGCAGTGTGTGAATTACTACAAAAGCTAGCCTAATTAAACAAACCCATTAGGCTCACACACCAACAAATTCACATAATCAAGCGAAGCAGTAACTGATTCAAAACGAGCACAGATGAGTGTTGTGATTGTCACAAATGGCCAGATCGGTGATGGATCACCGCCGAAGACGACATTCACAAGTTTCTTTTTACTTCTTTCGTCAACTTTATGGATGGTCATAGAGAGACCTTTGACAATCACATTGATAGGAATGTACCAAGCGTTACTACCATCAGCTGTTCGACGATCGTGATTGTGATAGGTTGCAACTCTGCTCCCAATTACCTCCAAGAGTTTATCTTTCTGGCTACTCTAGAAGTTCTTCCTATCTTCTCCACATAGTTTCCAACAGCTCCTCTGGAAATTTTTCTAAAATTATTGATGGTTCGATAGTGTAAATTTCCCAGAAATAGTTTGCTGAAGTTTCTATTGTGGAAATGTACATTTCACATACCTATTTAGATGTTTATCATGAAATCAAGCTAGCTGAAGAATGTATTTTTGGTGAATTTATTGGAAATTAAAAACCCCTTGACCAAAATCCTGCCTGCGCGACTGGAACAAGACAATGTAAAAGAGCTGATGTACCCCAATTCCCCCATATTTTTTTACAATTAGCTGAATATTTTCCCAAGCTACTTTGGCTCATTCCGCTATAAAAAATGAGTGTTGGGATATCATCAGATGTTTGATGATATATTGTAGTTAGCAGTTAAAGTGTGTTCACAGATTAATTGCATCATCTAGAAGTACTCGCCAAAAATAAGTCTCTCCACCGATTGTCATGAAATTTTCAGGGTAAGTAATTCTATCGAGCATTTTACGACCGCTCATGGCCGCCACAATCTGTCGTTTGACCTGTAAAAGGTCAAATTTGATCGTTTATACGTCAAACGACATAGCCTAAACATAAAATCGAATGTTCCCTACCAGAAAATCAGCTAGATTTTGGCGGCCATCAGCGCTCAATTCTGTCAATTCTGTATATAGGGAAAAGGGATGTAATGTCGGCCTAAATGCCCCTTATGTGGGCCTATACATAAATTCAGCAATTGACTAAATTATCAATAGCGCCCAAAAATATCCGTTAGTACCGTCCCATTGACGCGATCATAGGCCATCATTAGAGCCATTTCCCCTATAAGCTTGGTTTACTTATCTTTATATCACTGTATTTCTTCACCAAATCCAAATACCCGAACTTTTTTCTTAATTCCACCCATAAGGTTTTGTACAACGCGGTCGAATCGACAGTTTTTTCTGCTATCAACCATGATTTCAACATGTTATGCTCCGTAGTGACAACTTTAGTATGTTTACGGAGTTTGTGCTTCGTTATAGTCCCGTATCTTTCGAGTGGCTGCAGCTCCGGTGTGTTTCGGCACGAAATCGACCCCATTAATCTTGTACCACTCTAGAACGTCCTTGGAGTAGTGGCAAGAGGCTTGATCCGGCCAAAAATTGTGGGAACGTTGTATGATTTGAGAAACGGAAGCAGTCAGGCACTCATTGATGTAGACTTGGCCATTTACGGTTGTAGTTGCTACGAAAGGTTTGCTCCGTTTTCCGCACGAGCAAATCGCCTGCCAAATCATGAATTCCTTGGGAAACTTCGACACTTGCTGTTTCCTGAGGGACTCTGCATCATCGAATGTGTGTTTCGCAGTCATATACGGGTTTCCCGGAATTAGTTTGAAGTCCGCTTTTACGTATGTTTCACCGTCCATGATACAGCAGTGTGGTTTTTTCAACTTTTTTTCGATTTGTGAGGAATGGGCTTTGGAACGGTTTATTTACAAATGCTGATGGGCCCTTTTCTATTGCTGATCCAGATTTGTCTGTACAGCGTACGTGCCCATGTTCTAGCCGTCCTATTCGGTCGTTCTGGCTTTCTGAACCTTGGCGTTCTTGGCTTTCTACACGAAACTTTTTGTAAGGTGCAGTTTTTTCGCGACATGCCGAACGGAATAATTGGGTTTGCGTTTGAAGGCAGCAACCACACGCTTGTGATCTTCAACGCAGTACGGAACACTTTTTCTTGCACTCACTTGCCTCCGATCGACAGTTAGACGTTCTCCGAATCGTTTTATGACTCGAGAAACAGTAGATTGTTGGATTCCCAACATCTTTAAACACCATTTTCAAAACTACTCGAAATTTAACAACACACACTGAAGCCATCTCACCCAAAAGTTCATTAAAATAAACCCAGACGGCAGAATGTTGCAGCTTTTTTAAAGTGATGCAATTTAACTATGGACACCCTTTACAAGAAAAGGCTGTAATTTTCATTTTCAGAGAGTCACAATCAGCATTCGAGGTTTAATGTTCGCTTAGTTTTCACTTAAGGGCCACCCACATTAGATCCGTTTGCGTTGCGTTGACGTAAATTTGACAGTTAGACAATTGATTTAGCTGTCACTTTGCCGCAACGCGTCCGATCCGGATCTAATGTGCGTGGGCCTTTAGAGTGAGGACTCAGTTATTCGTTTTAAATCTATAGGCCCTTTCAAATGGTTAAGTCTCTATTGCTACTCATAGCGCCTGTTCTCTCTAACTTCTACTAACCCTTATCTGCATGTACCTATCGCCCTAAGTAGCCCTCATTGCATCGTGTGTGCATCAGTGTGTGTGTATCATAACCAGTAATTCAGTGCTAACATTTGAAAACGGCACAAAAGCCATTTGTAAACAAATGGTTTGTGGGCCCTTTACTCACTACTTGAAGTACACCCACGCGACACAACAGCAACATCGGGTAGGGGAAATTTTCCCCTTCCTGACGATGCTGTTGGTTTGCGTGGGCGTTCTTCGGGTAGCGAGTAAAGGGCCCACAAACCATTTGTTTACAAATGGCTTTTGCGCCGTTTTCAAATGTTAGCACTGAATTTATCCTAATTCTACGAGTGCCGCTATGCCTCTTCCATTCTGCCAGTTATCCGAACAAGTAGTTGCATGGAATCTTCCTCCTCCGCCTCCTGAAACCCTTCCACAGAATGACCCCCACTGGACTGGCCGTAACCTGCTAGAAGGGTTCCAGGTTCCAAAACGAAACAATCCGTAATGACATACGCACACACGCACTCAAGCCAGCGCTGAACTAATCGATGACTGTGTTTACCCTCTTTCTCACTCACTGTCGCCCACTGACCCTTCGAATACGGTGGCCGCTCTCTTTTTCCTTTCTCTTATTTCACTTGCAGGATCCGCTCTAAAACCCACCGCTTCGCCTTGGTATGGTCTCCCTAAGGTCAGCAGCGCCGCCGCTCCTTGTTGCCCTTCTCCTTCCAACACCACCATCACCAATACCACCACCACAAATGCTAGTAGCTCTAGTGTTAGTGATAGCAGTTATAGAACCAATAGTTTCATTAGCAGCTCGGTGGATGAACATCCTCGGGGCCGGTTCCTCGTAACGTTCAGTCTGCTGAGTTTAAGTTCCTTGCTCATCGCTTCCAGTGCCAGCACTGCCAGAGTTACACGACTGCTATATCTATGATCACGTACGCAAATTACTCACAGTCACAATCATCATATGTTTTGATTTTTAGTTCGTTGTGTTAGACTGGTACTGAAGATTGAGTACACTGAAACAAAAACACTCGACTTCAGTCTAACAGGAAGATTTTTAGTTTCAGTTTTTTCGGAAGAGACAAAATTCACCACAGAAATTTTATAGACTGATTATTTATAAAACATTGTAACTAAATCCTCGAAACACAGGAAGAAGAAAAAAGAATCTAAGATTTGACCAATTTTATCACAAAATTCGACCAGTGAAGAATCATAGTTTTACCAAGAAACGCCAAGACACCAGCAACAAATTCAGCTCAGGACAGGTTGAAACAATCGACATTTTGCTACCAACATACACATACACATAAACAATATACCACGCAGCATGAAAACAATAACAATATTATACACTATAGTAGAGGTAGCAGACATGCGGTTAGGAAGAATGTACTTATTTAACTATAAATTTATAAATGAAAATGCCATGGAACGCGGGATTCAGAATGATTGCGAAACGAAACACGTGCTCGACGACGAAAAATAGAAGATTTGGAATGTAGGATTGCTCTCCTCCACACATTGATGGCAGTGCTCTTAAATCTCATCGCTTAATGTAAGTTTACAGCTGGAAGAGGAAGAAGAAGAAGATTACACAAACACAAATAGAGCCGTTGTTTTAAAAACGGTTGATTGAAATTATCATTTTCCATGACGATATTATTAGTTGCTTAATGAACTAGGTAGGATAATGAATTGCATTGTAAAGGAGAGCTTTGTGTACAGACAGTAAGCTTGGTATATGATATTGTGTTGAACAGTGGAAAGGAAGAATGCGAGCTGCGCGGATTGTTTGTAAATATTAGGGCATGTTCAATTTTGAATCGAAAGCAAAAAAAAGTATTTTAGGTTATCTCTGAACCCTCACTGCTTAGGTTACACTATTTATTGGTCTCGTTGTGGTTCGTAATCATCACGTCTTATTGAGTGGGAAAAAACGAGGGTTTTCATCAAACATGATTGAAGAGATTTCTTACAGGCTGCAGCACTGCAGTTATACGCACATCGGTCCCGTATCCGCTGCAATCGTTATGGAACGTGCGTCGTTTATGTGTATAACGGCAGTATAACTGGATGGTAGCGACACGGTATTTGGATGAAATTGGCTAATTGGATGGTAAGACAGCAAACATGGTATCATTCCGGTTAATCAATCTTGGTAATACAGCCGTAATCTGGAGTCGGTAAATTATCGCAACATTGTAAGCGTCGAAAGCGGTTTCTTGAAGCTGATCCAATTTGTCATGGCATTGATAAAAGAAGTCATAAGTGATGTTTAGTGATTAGTGGGCATTAGAGTTGATTCATCTGGCCTTGATAATCTGTACATCTGTGTAGGTATTTATATACTTATCTTTTAAATATATTTACATTACTTCACACATAGCTGACGCTGGATGGTTTCAATGGAAACCAACACTGCATCAGCAGATTTTCTCCATAGAATGGAGTGTTTCGCTCTAGTGGTAAAGGAGTATCCTCCTCGGAAGATTTCTAACATAAACATGACCGTAGAATCTGGCTCAAACCGGATTTCCGTTCACTCGCATTGGCTATATAGAAATCACACGTCAAAAAAAGAGGCACACAAAAATGGTTGCCAAAAAATTTTCAGCTTTCAAGGAGTAAACCACAACAATACGGTAAGGTTTCTACTTTATTGCATTGCATAGTGGTAGGTTGCCAAATCAAGCCAAAACAGCGTCTCGCCTCCGTGAAACAGCAGTAAGCGTAGGAGGTGCTTCTGGAGGCACTCGTCTCGGTAGATTTTCCCGTTGATGGTACCCGTCGTGATATACGGCTTGCTTATCTTGCCGCACCCACAGATGGCCTGCCAAACCAAGAACTTTTTGGCAAATTTACCTCCTCAGGAACGGCCAACCGTGATGTGGCACCGTAAAACTCCTACCCCGGTAACTTCTTAGTGTCCGCCTTCCTGGCGCGGGTTTTCGCCACCGTGTTTTGTGTGTCGCTCCGGTTCGGTGCCTTCCAGTCCTTATAGACGTGGATGCCGGCACGTTTCATTGTGTTTTGGACAAACCAGATGGAAACATCCGCCTTATTCGCCGCATCGCGGATCGAAAGTTTCGGTCGACGCTTGAACAGACTCAACACCTTCCTGGCATTCACCTGATCAGCTGCCATCGGTTTTCTGACGGAACCTGCCCGCCGCTGGGTCGTCTGGGACTCCTTGAATGACTTCACCACCCGTGAAATCGTCGAATGATAAATTCCTAGGTGTTTCCCGATCCATCTGTGGGACGCAGTCGGATTCTACACCGCGCCGCCGCACAAGATTTTTTGACGGATCTACTCTTGCTACACTCTTAGCTAGTTTCAGTCAAAATTTCATCAATTTTTACCCTTACGTTAAAAATTTACAAACTAATCAATGTGTCTCATTATTTTCGAGTACAGTATTTATAAACAAATTTTCACTCGTTTGTCTCTCTTTCTCCCGTTCCAAAATCTTTCCAACACTTATTTATCTAAAAAATAAAGGGTTGTGTCACAGGAGTGGAACTTAGGATCAGAAAGTGGCTCCACTTGTCATTTGCGAACACTAGCGTACCTAGCGGTAGAAGGCAAAAATGGCGTCAAACATCGGTTTCTGCCCTCTCAACGTTCTTCTTTCTCTTCTCAATTTTGAAAATACCCACCTTGATGGATTTTTGACACTATTTTCAACTTTTTCTGAATCCAAAAGTTGCCATCTTGGATTTAAATATTGCGTTTAACATCGATTTTCGGCATCTACGTGTCATCCTTGTTGTGAAAATTTACACTTCTCCTCAAATCGGAAGCCGCCGTCTTGGATTTTACAATGGCATAGGACATTGATTTCCGGCATATGAATGGGTATTTGATAGAATTTCACACTTTTTCAAAATTTCAAGAATTTTAAAATGGTGTCGAATATTGTTATTTAGCCTCTAGATGTCATCCCGATTCCCAAAATACCCATATTGATGTATTTCCTATATTTTATTTAACTGGAAGCCACGATCATGGATTTCAAAATGGCGTCGCATATCTATTTACAATCTGTAGACGTCACTCCGATTCCCTAAATACTCATATTGATGGGTCGACATCACTATTTCCCACTTGTCTGATACGGGAAGCCGCCATCTTGGATTTCAAAATATCATCGGATATCAATTTCCGACCTCTAAACATCACTCCGATTAAAAAATTCCCATATTTATGGGTATTTGACAGTATTTTCCATTTATTTCTTAAATCGAAAGCCGCCATCTAGGATTAGAAAATAGCGTCGGATATTGATTTTCACTCTAGGGGCTGTTCATAAACTATGAAGACAGTTTAGTGGGGGGGGGGGGGGGTAGTTTTCCATGGCCCATTAGACTGATGCAAAATTTGACTTTTTCGCTCCACAGTGCTTAAATGGTTTCAAATCGGGTCCTGATAAGCCTTCCAAAGTTACAACTCATTTGGTTAGAAACAGACTTCGCACAAGCTATTTGAAGTTTACATGTAAATTACTATGGGAAATCTCAACTTTTTGTTCATTGCCTTCTAGTCTTTTTCCATATTGAGCTGCGAAACAGTTCGATGGCCATTCTTATAGAAAATTTTCTCAGCTACATCTTTGCTGAAGATCGTTTCTATGTAAAACGAGACAGGAAAAAGTTATTAATTATTTAAGAGATTGGTAAACTTATGACATGATCAAGCAGCTGCTCTGTAGGCAACGCTGTATTTTGCAGTGTGACATAGTAGCCATGATTTTTGTGTCCTATTCAACGCCTATTCAAATTCAATTTCCTACAAGCACAGTTGAAAGCTTTTGAAGCAGACCGATATGGTGAATTATTAGATCGACATGAACAAAAATCTTGGTTTTCCCATAGTAATTTCCATACAAACTTCAAATGGTTTGTGCCATCTCAGTTTCTCACCAAATGGGTTCAAATTTGGAGAGGTTAGTCAGGATCCGATTTGGAATCGTTTAAGTATTGTGGAGCGAAAATTTCAAATTTTGCATCACTCTAATGGCCCATACAAATTAAAAAAAAAATTGTATGAACAATTGTCTACGCAGGGGGAGGGGGCTTAAGAATCCCAAAAAACCCTCTACGTAATTTATGAACAGCCCCCTCGGCGTCATCCAGTTTCGAAAAATACCTATAGATATTAATGGGTATTTGACAGTATTTCCCTCTTTTTTTTAAACTGTAAGCCACCATCTTGTATTTTATAATGGCATCGCATATCGATTTTCAATTTTTTTACGTCATCCCGATTTTAAAAATACCCATATTGATGGGTCGTTGTCAGTATTTACCACGGTTTTTGAAATCGGATGCCACCATATTGGATATCAAAATGGCGTCGGTTATCGATTTCCGGCCTCTCGATGTAACTACGATTTCAAAAATACCCACATTTATGGGTAAGCAAACCACCCTATAATCACAGACAAACAGACATAGATCTTAGAAGAAAATTCTTCAAAAAATATCGTCAAGCGTATTTTGCATGCGCACTAGCACCATCTATCATCCACATTCCCAAGCATTGATGTGCAACTAGAGCATCCCTCGTTCATGCCATTTTTTCACTAGTTGCTTTTCCCTCAACACGCGTCAGCTGTGTTGAATAAAAACAAAACAGATGGAAGTCAGTGATGTCGGTTCTACTAAATTTTCCGTTGATCTATAGAATTGATTTAATTCTGCAGAAATGCGGCTCCGTAGGAAAAATTCACAGAAGCTAAGACTTTTTTTAGGGATTTGTTTTGTTTGTTTAGTGTGCTGTTTCTTTTGCTAAAAACAAGTTTTTAAACGAGGTTATGCATCACTAATTAGTGCCCTTTCTACCACCGCTCATCACTTTAATGTGTGTACAGCAAAAAAAATATAAAATGTATCAATCAATAAAATTCATGGTGAAGTATTGAACATCAATAACCGGTAAAAGGGGTAAAAGTTGATAGAATATTACAGTCATCAACATGATTTGTTCTAGAATTCTGTGTTAATCGTGCAGCGTAATATTAGGAACGGAATGACTAATGTGCAGCACTTTCGATGTAATATTCAACAATTATTTTTTTCTGTATTCGTCAGATATGTGTGTCTCCAGTGGGATGCCTTGACCACATATCATTTTCAAGAGCTGACATCTACTACCTAGACGTGAAAAAGAACTGGCATCACTGATAAGTTCGAGATTTGGTGGCTTGCTCAATGCTTCAGTGGCGCCACCATGACAAATGCAAGCACATTCCCAACTAAAACATTATTTGCGATGAATGTGATTGTGAGTGTTATGTCTGTTTGTCTGTGATATAATGATGAATTTGACATCTACGTACACAGATCCATGCGCTTGCGCTTAAATGAATAGAGTGAACAATCAACAAAAGTCAGAAAAACTGCGCGAATTTGGATCGAACAGGTTCGCTTCAATGCGACAGTAAGTTCGTTTGACAATGAAAGACGAAATCAACACGAGTCAAGCCAAAACAAACAGCATTAAAACTGATCAAAAGTGGGTTTGTTGATGTTGAATAGGATCTGCTCGAAGAGAAGACAGAATGAATCTCAATTGAAAGTGATGGTTGACAACTTCGTCGTCGCTTGACGATTTTCGATTGAAAGTGACTTTGTTGGGCCCTGCTTGGAACTAATACCAATAGCATGAATGAAGGATAAACTGAAAAGCACCCAAACAATTGTCTTTACCGAAGGAGAACCCGATTGAATACGTATAAGCCGAACGCTAAAGGCCCAAACGCAATGTGGACAGAAGCGGAACGGAAACGGAACGGAAACGAAACGGAAACGGAAAGTTTGACAGTTGTCACAAATGACATCAAGAAGCCTAACCGATGTCGATTTGGTTCTAACTAGTTTTCAATCCGACAAGTAAGCTTACTCAGCTCGGGCTGCCGCTTCCGCTGCCGTTCCGCTTCCGCTGTCATTGTGCTTGGGCCTTAACGATTTAAATAGCCGAGTGAGATATTTTTTTTTTGGCTCAGTGATTTAAATCAGTTGATATTGCCACAGCAGTTTACACTATTTGCGTGACGCTTACGTTCATGTGTTGCAGAATAATACTTTACTCCATGTTAATACCAATTTAAATGAGTCAATTTATGTTTAAAGCTAAAACATAAAAAGTGATTCTTTCTGCTAAATTCTCACTCAGCAGAATGCAATCGTAACAGACTCAACAATAATAATAAAAACAATAATAAGTGAGGAATCATTCATGTACACTCAGCTGTCTGTTTTGCTCAATTCTGCGCTCATCGAAGACAATAG